AAGGACTGGGTTCAGAGAGCTTCTGGATAGCTGAACATATGGAGGTTTTTGTAGGGGCATGGACGCTCTGCCCTCCTTCTCCCACACTTTGCCCCATACATCTCTTCCGCCCTGGTTATTTATCTGTATCTTTTGTAATATCCTTTATAAAACACAAGAAAACAGTGTTTTTCTGGTTTCTGTGAGATGCCCTAGGAAATCAATTGAAACTCAGCAAGGAGTACTAAAGACCCCTGTTTACAACCAGTCAGTCAGAAACAAGCACAGGCCACAATCCGTGGCATCTGAAGTGGGGGGCGATGATGGAAGACTCAGCCCCTCAACCCATGAGATCTGATGCTACCTCCAGGTACATGGCGTCAGAACTGCCAGTTCATTCCAGGTGGAGAGTGAACTGGAGGACACCCAGCTGCTGTCTGCTGGAGAATCTGCTGCAGAATCCACTGCAGAATTGCTTGATTTGTGGCAGAAAACCCCCACCCACCTGGTGCCAGAAGTGCTCAGTGACTGTGTGAGGGTAGAGAACAGGAAAAATACGTCTTGTGTTGTTTTTTTTTCTATTTCTGGAGTTGGTGTCACAAGTGTTGCATTGAGGAACCGACTAAAAATGGGGAAAAGTACTTTGGTGTTTTTCCTATTTCTCCTTATAGACTGTACTGAGTCAAGGGGATACATTTTGTACTGCCCAGCAAATTAAAATGAAACATGTTTGCAGCACTAACCTTGGAGCTGAAAAGAGAAAGAAAAGCAGCAGTAGGGAGAAGACTTTCCAGACTGCAGATCCTCAGTAATGGAAGCAGGGGATTGACTGCAAGCGATTACAAGAACATTTTATTAGAATGCAAAATTAAATTTCAGTTATTTTTAATTGCACATTGATTTGCATTTGTTGATTCCTATTATTTTTGGTGTACTTTGCCACACACTGAGAAAGCCAGTTCTCTTAATCAACTATTGCTTTTTTAATGAGGAGAACAAATCTAATAAATATAAAATATTAAAAAGCACACAAGTATTAAAGGCAACCAATGAGATAGGCAATAGGAGTGTGGGCAAAAAGCAGTCAACCTGGGCAGATATAATTGGGGACTGTTTCAGATCTCTAAGATATGTCCCTTTCTCTGCCACTGCCACCAGGTTAGTCTAGGCTCTCAGGACTTCATGCCTATTAGTGAAGAAGAGATGAGACAAGAGAGACGGTAAAGGCGGGGGTCAAAAAAGGGAGGAGAGAATTGGGTTTGCTCTCGATAGGTGGCAAATAGATTTTATCCTGTTCTTTTGCTTGTGGTTTTTTTTTTTTTTTTTTTTTTTTTTTTAAGACAGAGTCTCACTCTGTTGCCCAGGCTAGAGTGCAGTGGCATGATCTTGGCTTGCTGCAACCTCTGCCTCCCAGGTTCAAACGATTCTCCTGCCTCAGCCTCCAGAGTAGCTGGGACTACAGACACGTGCCACCAGGCCCGGATAATTATTTTTGTATTTTTAGTAGAGATGGGGTTTCACCATGTTAGCCAGGATGGTCTTGATCTCCTGACCTTGTGATTCGCCTGCCTTGGCCTCCCAAAGTGCTGGGATTACAGGTGTGAGCTACCATGCCCAGCCTGCATAAGTATTTTTTTTTTTTTTTTTTTTTTT